GGACTTATATTCAACTAGATATGCGTGATTCAGAGCAATAGACCGAGTTGCGATGAAAATGCTGGTTGATGGTCCATCTATGAGAGGCACAGTATGTTAATTATGTGACACCGCTCATCTTTTGATGTCAGCGATACTTGAAAGATCATTGAAGATCGTCGAGAGATTGGAAGTGAGTAGTTTGTAAAAATCCATGCCATACTACATGCGGCAGTTACATTGGAATAAGGTAGTCTCTCAAGGGTCTTTTATCCGTAAAATTTTCCGACGGATCACGAAACTGGCGAAGCCACAAGCTCACTACGATAACAGACCGATCGTAGAGAAGATGTGTTATGGAACGAAAAGTGACAGATAGGTACTTAACTCTCTGCTGACCAGGTTGTTGGAAGCATGTGAATATTCACATGCTACCACATGCTCCTAGTACTTAGTTTCCCATCTTGTAGATAGTTTCTCTCTCTCTCTTAACGCACAACAGAGATTTTCCAGTTATATCTACACTTCATAGTAGAAACTGTAATACATCTCTATCACAGGTTTATGGGACGACCCAGGTCCAAGGTGCAGAGGTTGATGTAATGTAGATGAATGAGCCTCCTTGAAGGATTTAATCCCGATAGAACGATACAATTCTCTTGCGGATGAATGGAGAATCATGACGATCGTGATAGTCCTAAAATAAACTTGCTTCCTGTTCTTCACTCAATTAGCTCTGGCAGTTTCTGTTGTTCACAGACATCTTACAATCTAGGCCACAATCAGCCATTCTGCAAGACTTTACTTGATTCTTAACAAGACAAGTTCTTACATACATGATTTAGGAAATATATGTCAAACTCCATAGGTATATTAGTTTTCCAATAGAACTCTTCGAAAAAATCAACATTGAAATGAGTCCGTTTTGGAAAACACGGCATGTGACTTGTAATCACCGATGCCGCGTACATCCAAAGCGTCAACTTGAAAGTCAAAGGTTGGCATCTCAGATTTCATAGAAAGTTCCAATCGGATGTCGAGGATAAGGACCCACTTCCGTTAAACGGCCAATTAAGGTTAGCGCTACCAGAATTCATCCCACGGCTCGTATTGATTGGCCCTCGGCAACAATAGTTCTGATGTGGATAGTATAAATAGACATAGTAAGTTCTAGAAGCAAATGGGGCTAGTAGGTATCCGTTGTCCTGAATGCATTCATGCCCCTGAATTTTGGGGGAAAGCTTTTCTTTAAAAGCCTAGGACAAACCCGCAAAGAATCGAGCACAACTTGTTTCGTGGTATTCTCGATATTCTCAGTTGCAGGGCACAGAAAGACAACCTAATATATTACATTGGAATATGCAACATAATCACAATCACACAAATCAACGGCATCAAGTTCGCTTCGATGTTTCCTGAAAATGTTCATGTCATTGAGGAGCTTTCCCCCGATGATCGCACTCTGTCTGCGCAAAAGTACCGGAAACATCTCCGTCATATAGCACAAACAGCAATATGGACTACCTACATCTACTTTGCAGTGCGGCTGTTTATCACCTTGACAACCCCGGACCGAACATGGAAGATGTGGGCAATGCTTGGCATTGAGGGTCTTTTTTCTCGTGAGTTGTTCCCTAATAATGAACACCGAACAGTCACTGATCTAGTTAGACATATCCCTGAATCACCAACGCCTATCGTTAGCCGCAACGAGAAAACCACCACACCAGACACTCCGCAAGAGATTACGAAGCAACGAAAACCTGCCCAGAGTCGATGTGTTAGTTACATGCTGTGGAGAGCCAGTGGAAATTATCCTGGATACAGTGCGAGCAGCGTGTGGCTTGGACTACCCGGCTTCCCGGTTTCGAGTTCGGCTTCTGGATGACGGGGGGTCAATTGACCTGCGTGACGCGATTGCGAAGCTAAGCACGAAGTGGACTCACCTGTCTTATCACACCCGGGGCAAGCAATCTGGGAAATCTTTTGCCAAAGCAGGAAACCTCAACTACGCCCTGTTCTCTCTACAAACCGAAGACCCGCCGGAATTCTGCACAGTCGTCGACGCAGACTCCATCCTGATGCCTGAGTTTCTGCGCGCAACACTGCCCCATCTACTTGCAGACCCGGAGGCAGCATTGCTGACCACCCGTCAGTATTTCTACAACCTGCCCCGCGGCGATCCTTTATCCCAGTCACGGGCTTACTTCTACACCTGTGAGAATACGGAACTTGATCTTCTTGGTCATGCCCTAGACGCGGGATCAGGTGCAGTCTTCCGTCGGGACGCGATTCTCGACGCGGGCGGATATCCGTCCTACTCTTTCTCGGAAGATTGGCAGCTATCGTTAATCCTAAGAGGGCTGGGGAAGCGCACGATGCAGGTGCAGGAGGTAATACAATTTGGTCTCGTCCCTACTTCTCTCGCGGGGCATCTCAAGCAGCGGAATCGGTGGCATATCGGACACTCTCAGCAGATTTCAGTGTTGTTCCCTTCTGTCAACAAGGCGATTCCAAAGCATCTGCGCTGGGACATTGCTCTCGGAGGACTGTCTATCATGGCAGGTCTTGTAACCTACACTGTTAGCTTTGCTGCTTTGCCTTTCCTTCTTTTCTCCCAAGGTGTGGTTGTTCCTGCCGGATCAGCGTTAGAGGTCAAGATTCAGCTTGCTCTGGCCATCGCTCATGTTGCATCGACATGGGCATATGACTGGGCTCGGAGTGCACATGCCGGTGTTCCATTTACGGCATTTGCACATGCAGAGAATAGCTGGCTTGCCTGTGGTAAGTTTGATTAGATACTCTCCATATTCCTGATGGAACCCGTGAACCTGGATCCTAACGTGTTGTGTTCATAGCCCATTTGCACGCCATTGTACAATTCCATCTATTCGGAAGCAAACCCAAGGGATCTTTCGTTACCGGAAGCACCGCCAATTCGAGTGAAAATGCCACATCCATTTCGCCGCTCCAAAAGGCCTACAGAGATACCCTTCAGAGTGGTGCTGTGTTGAATGTTTGTCTCTTTATTGCGACAGTAGGAGCTATGTTCTTTGCGGTCTGGGTTTGTATCTCCGGAGATGGATTGACAATTTCCAAACTGCTCACTACAATTGCTTGGCCGCCATTTTTGCACCTTTGGTTTTTGGCGATTGTCAACAATTGGGTGCCCATTGCTCATCTTTTCAATTCCCCGACATATCACTCCAGAGAGTCTAGATTGATCACCACAGTGGACGGAATATCATACCCACGAGCGGAGGTTGAAGGGGAGCTTAGATCTGAGATGTCTTTCCTCAGCCTCTGCTGCTCTTTTGTGGTGCCAGTTGTTCTTTTAGGTGCGCTCGTGGGTGTTGTCATAATGTAGGGCTTGACAACTTGGGTTTGGGTTTTACACCATGACCCTGATATTGAAAACTCAGAGAAAGGAGTCGAGAGATTCTCAAACAAAACGTCATGAGCTATGGTACGCTTTTTGCAAAGCAATTTCATATGGCCGCTTTTCTTGCCTTGTGCTAGAACATCGAATTTTAATGTGCGGGGTTTCTTCACGATGTTATTAGAGACGCCGTCTATTTATGTCCTGAGGGCTTCTCTTGTAGGTGCTCGGTTAATCGTTCTACTAACTTTCTTTATGTCAATGCATCAGTGTTCCAGCTGTGTTCTCGTAGTATCATTAGAGCGGCCCGTTGCATTGTATTAGTGTTGTAGCAGTGTCTTCAATATGTCTTTCCTGTATCTTTCCAGCTGTCTTTTAAGGTATGTAGTTTCTCATTCTAGCTAGAACAAAACCAAAAAGCACATTCACACACAGTGACCAGACACAAGTTTCTACACCTCTGGCCCCACACCCCATGATTACATAATAATCTGTCAATAAACTGTCGGTCAAAATCCCCCAGAAATTCAAATTTAGCGGGGCGCTTTTCTCCCACTTTAGGTAGGCGGTACAAATCTTAAACTGGCGGTGAGCTGAGCGGGGCTCTAGGGGTGTGCATGTCCGCTGGAAGTCAGACAATTTAACATCTATGAACCAAGGCGATTAAAATCCATAGTGCTACAATGAACCTAAAAGAATTGCCGTATCACTTTATATAGTGGTTATAAGTCCTGCTTTAGTAGAATGTGGCATAACATAGGATGATCTTGAAACGTTGGAGGATATCCTATGTGTAATCAAGAACTGATAGCAAGGCTTAACGAAGAGAACGTGCCTGAAAAAAGGACTGTGGAAGAAAGAGATTATCCCTGGTATAGAAGCAGGTCCAGACAGATAGGGCCGGGTCACTTCCTAAACAAGATCCATCAACCCGACCCCGAGAATCCATCCCGGAGACATCCCAATTGCCGTACAGACAAGCCGAGAGTCAAATTTCGACAACCCCCTTTCACTAAGGACACGACTTATCGGGCTTTGGACCTTGTACCTTGTATAAGCATCGTAATTCTATTAAGTTTTTCTGTTGATTTAATTTGTCATCTTCATTATAATTTTCGTTGTTATCATTTTTAGAATGTGTTCTAGCATGATTTTGTTCTTATTTATCCTCCCCAAGAATGAATTAATGTAGGATATTTATTTGGCTGGACCAAGCATTCTTTCCAGGTTGAACTCAACCCAGGAAGAGAGGATCTTTGTAATCAAAAAAGGGCCACGGTTCTCAATGTGCACCTCCCTCAAGGGCGGGGAACATGAATGCGTCTCGCTGCGTCAAGTATATCGCAACCCACTTCCAGGGTCGCTGATCCGCCACAAAATTGGGATTGAGACTTGCCATTGTTGAAATATGGTGTGCCAGATCCAGTCTCTCAGGCCCATTACATTCAAAGTACTGTTTCTCATTCCGTACCTCTTCAGATGTGGCGGTGTATTGGGATACGATTTGCAATGAGTTGATAAACTCTTCCTGTTTGTTAAATTCATTCAGCTTCGTAAGATGCTCCTTTCCAGGAGCAAATGATTGGAAAAGCTCTGAAAAGTGACCAAAGTCTTGGATAGAATCCAGATTAATCAAGCGAGCAAAGTTCCAAAGATCAGTGCTGTTCTAGAAAGGAAGAGATGCCTGGGCATCAAACCCTTTCCCTTCAACAAAACCTCCTGTGAACGAGGCTATAAAATCAAGGCTCGGTCGATTCCGAAATTGAGGTAGTCCAGGACAGACGAGTAGCATTGACTTTGGGACACATGAAGTGCACGAAGGCGTCCGAACAGTCCGATAGAGCTGAGCAGAGTCGGTATGCTTGTGCATGAGATGGCAGCCATGGTGATTGGCCATGGTCTCTGAGCGAGGCAGGTTCCGACAATGGAACTATCTCTTTGCTTGTGGGTCCAATATCTTGTGGATCCCCAATGTGGCTCAGGAGACACGCTATAAATCTCGTAAGTCTTGACTGAGGATACTGGCATGTGCAATCTCCGTGTGGCGATACGGCGATGCAGCGGAGCTACTTGGCATTGTTTTGAGAAGTGATCTCAGGTACCTTATAAGCCGTCCGCCCTCCTTTTCCATTTCGCTGATCACTTTTCATTTGCCGTCTGTTCATTTGGCCGCCATGCATATGTCAGCCTTGACCACATTAGCTTCTACTCTCACCCTCCTACAAAGTCCTCCTCGCCTGCGATCCCGGCTTCCTGTTGGAGAGCCTATAATGCCTCTGTGGCTCCTCAAATCCTTCCGCGTGCCCTCCCGCCGAGACCGTATTTCCAAGAACCAACCTTCAGATTAGCAGCTGGTACCAGCACTAATGTCTCTCTGCAATCCCGAGATGCCGTGATGGAAAATTTGGATTCACGTGCAGGCAGCGAATTTGATATCGAAATAGAGAGAGCTATGACGCAGAACAGCCAGGAAACGCACAAGACAGACTTGGACCTGCACCTCGACTCAGGGCTCCGAAACGAATGTCATACAGACGTGCCTAAAAGCGATCACACATACTTAATAACCGGTATGTTGGGATCATTGCTGAACTGCGATAAGCGAGCGTAGCTAATACCATCCACCAGATCATCCAGATCTATGCCCTTTGGGAGAATCTCGTGGTGACTTAGATACGGCTTTGATCCCGGCAGAACCTCAGTTACATCATGCAGGTAGGCGCGACTATTATCTTTCTGTTCGACTTATCTCGTTAACTCAAACAAGACCCACCCATTGCCTCAGCCGTTGCCCCAACTGACCTGCTAAGATGGCGCCGAGATAACATCTCGTCGCTAGGAATTTATGATGAGACTGACAAGAGCCCTGCTCCGCCCGAAGTCAGCTTGACTTGCCGGCGTGTCTTGCCATCACCTCCGACAGATGTACCAGCACGGCCTAGCATTGAAACCATTACCCAAGATGAATCCGTCATAGATGACACCACGTCCGGGTTAGAAAACCATGGAGATCAAACGGGTATTACAACAGATGGGGTGGCAACACAAATTGTCCAGGTCAATGGAACCCTCAATTAGCGAGGCTATCTCGGATAATGATGTAAGAGGCAGACTCACCGATAGTCAAGCGCGTGCCTTCTCCCGTCTTGGACCTCAAACTCGCTCTGTCAACCAATCGCAAGCCACACTAGCAAACTCTCCATCCTTTCGTCCGCGACGAAAGACAAAACCCGCCCGGCGAGATCAATTTCCTGCAGTTTCCGTTGTCATCCCTGTCCGTCGAAATGATAACGTGGTCGTAAGGGCCAGGAAGAACTCTCTAACCAGAATTGTAGTCGCTCGAGCGACAGCGACAACAATAGTGACAGCTTCGATAAAGATCGAGTAACACGCACGTCGATGAGCAATTACTCACCGTCGTCAGATGGACCTGGTTCCAAGGCAAGGGGGCGCCCACTGAGAACGTCGAAGAGGGCAAAGGGAAACGTCTTAGTCCCGAGCAATGATATCGTCGTGAAATGTCCTAATCAGTCCCAAACCCCCTCAGGGAGTGGTTTGGCTGTCTCTTTGGATCAAACACAAGAGATTTTCGGTCGCGGAGTTCTCCGTATCGAAACTCACGGTCCTCGACATGCCTACTTCATGACATTTCTTCCAGAGGTTTCTCCACCCCCCTCTATGCCGTCACCATCTGAAATGCCCCCTGAACAGTCTTCACAGCAGCCTTCCTGCTTTCAAGATAATTCTCAGAACGCATCCTCGCGACAGGTGGGACGCAGAAAACGCCATAAGCGAAATATATCTACAGCCTGTGAGGGTGGAGAGGGGCGGTCGAGCAAGCTGCCACGACACTCGCCATCTCATGATGGTCGCAACGAAGCCCAGCGAAAGCGCAAGAGGCGCTTGCGGTGGTCTTCAGAGGAGGTGGATTTTTTGCAGGAGTTAAGAAGGGACGAGGAACGACCATGGTCGGAGGTGACGAGCTTATTTTTGGACCGATATCCGGGAAGAAGTCCTGCTACGATCCAAGTATACTGGAGTACAATGCGGGCTTCGAGAAAGCAAGACTAAGAGCACGTCAGCCACCGTCTAAAACAAAGCATATATCTCAACCGTCTCTAATACATACCGCTAGAACTACATTCTTAGGGAATACTTTAATGTGGGATATCTATATGGAAGTTACGGATCGGTAAAACCTCCCTCCCCTTTAGCGTAATACCTTGTCGGCAAGTAGTGGTCCCTGTCGAAAGTCTGGTAGCGGCGTATAAGACACGGTTCGGGAACTAGTCCTTCTTACGACCAACTGGAGGGGTTATAAGGGCAGATGTGAAGCTGCTCTTCATTGCGTACTGTGAACGGCGGACCTGTGAATTACTTAATCCGGTTAGTTTTGCCTTTTTAGGTTTAGCGCCCCAATACGCCATGACTTTGTCGCGCCGATCGCCCCCTTCCTTCCCTCAATATAAAAAGCCTTTAATGCTCCTGACTGCACCAAAATCTGACATCCCTTCCAAAAAATCGATTCTTTACCAAATGGCCACCGAAAATACCTGTTCAGCGTGTAGCTGGTCCCCAACACGTCAAGACGCATGTCGTTACCAGAGTCACGTGAACCTTTTCTACGGGGTCAGCTAGGCCTCGCCAAAACCCGCCCACCGCCCAAACCCGCTCGCGAAAACCCAGCCCATGGGCCGAATTGGGTCTTAGTCAGCAAACCCGTGGGTGGGTTGTCATCCGGGAAACCCAACCCAAGACCCCAATGGGTACCCGCGATTACCCAAAAAAGCAAAAAAAGCTGACTGATCATTTTTAACACTAAGTTATGCAGTAATTTTCGATTATCTAATTGTTTCGATGGCGTAACTGATAGCTTCTAGCTGAGAATATTTGGAAAGGAACATGAAGAATACGACTTCAGGAGGACACTGAGAGGGTCCAAATCACTGATTTTAAATTATCGAACTAAAGATAATATTTTGGAGCTCACTCGAAAGATTCTCAATTGCTGAATTTACATAAAATGATCAATGTGGCCTGTAATCCCTTCAGATGTGTAAAGCACGGCGATGGGGGCAGTGATCTACATGTAGAGAATAGTTATATACAAGGTTTTGGGCCGCGCATAGCGCGGCCTCCCTCCCTTGCTAAGCCCTTGTACATGGAAAATTAAGCTAACAACATATATTAGAGAAAGAACAACCACAATTCTGCTATTTTTAGTAAGTTATCTCCTTTCTCATGGTCTATCCATAATAGTCTTCTCTTTTGGAGCTTGGAGACCTAATTCTATAGGGACTTCATAGCCCTTGTAGTTATATATTTCCAGATCGATGGCGCTCATTGTTTCAGTGTAACATCCACCCAAAAGCGTGACAGAAATAAATGACCAAAATTACATCAGATGACCAATCAGGTTTATCTACGATTTATGCATGTTTTTGGGTATTTTGGGCAACCCGCGGGTACCCGCCAAGAACCCATGGGCGGGTTCATCAAGGCCAAAACCCGCGGTGGGTTGCCCATGGGCGGGTAAGGAAATTGAAAACCCAACCCAAACCCGCGTTTGGCGAAGTCTAGGGTCAGCAATCGAGGGGTATGGTCTTTAGGCTCAAACTTGATTCTGAAAGAACGGTCTACCGGGCCACCAAACTTTGAGGTCCCCAATATCAGGTTTTTTGCGTCAAGAACCTCAATTCCTATACCTCAAATCGTTGAAGAATGGCAAGAAGACGACGGGGCATGTTTTCTCCTTACCAAACGAATTCGAGGTCAACCATTGAGTGATATTTGGCCAAAGATGACATCGACCGACAAAGAGCGCGTCGCAAAACAGACCGCTGAGTACTTGATGCAGCTTCATGAGCTTCGCTCGGACCGACTGGAAAGCATCAGTGGGCAGCCAATCTACTCAGCCTTTCTTTTTCCGAATGGCTATGGCATTGGACACGGGCCTTTTTCATCTGATGATGAGTTATGGGCTGAGATGTCGTTGGCCTTAGCTCAAGTGCCAGAGCAAGTTCGATCGAAATTGCGTCGGCGGATGCCAGCTGCGGCTCCTTATACCTTTACTCACGGCGACCTGACCAACGTCAATATCATTGTCGAGAATGATAACCTGGCAGGGATTCTGGACTGGGAATCTTCGGCCTTTTTCCCTGTTTGTGGGAATTTACCTGTGCGGGAATTGGCCTGGGGCAAGATGATAAAGAATGGAAAGACTTGCTTTGCACACATCTACCGGATCATACTGAGGCCCGCAATTTTGGGTTGGATTTCTTTGCATTGCGCAACTATCCTAAGTTGAATGAGAGAGGGCTGGCACTTCTAAAGGAATGTGGTTCGAGTTTGCCAGAGAATCAATCAATCAATCAATCAAAGTTCAATTAACCTGTTGCAGTCTAACTAGTTGCGTATGACTATGCAGGCGCTTCTCCAACCGAAGCAAGAACTCGAGACCCAACGCCGAGCGGGATCGTTCCCAGAGTATACAGATGATGCCGAAGTGAGGAGTGCAGAATCAGCCCATTCCCGTAGCCCGTTCAACCCATACCCGCAAAACCATGCCCAAACCCATACATAAGAACTAATTTGATGAACGCAGTGGAGTGCACCCTCCACTTCAATCTCTCACTCCCTTCTCATCTCCATACCTCGCTTCTCTCTGCTTCCTCCCTTGCCTCAGTTTCAGTTGATGGTGACGTTTTTGGTGGCCAGTTCTTTGGCATATTTCGTATCCCTAGCTGAGTTTCTCGCGTCTCAGCTTCATTCTCGTCATTGTCTAATACCCATCGTCTTCCACACCTAGATCCATTGCCGTGAGGCCTACCGGTTCGTCGTCGTCCTCGATTCTAGCGTGTCGGAATTGCTGGAGAAGACCTGTTTGGTGCATAAAGTTGACCACGTAGCGGGTGGCCTGCGGATTCGAAACGATCTTGTCGTAATCCATCTCGTTGATCCCAATATCCCACAATTGCTTCCAACGCTTTGTACGCGGAATGGTATACCGGGGACACTGCATCAGGATATGTTTTGGCGTCTGCGAGCCCTCGTCGCATAGACACCGGTCTGTCTCAGCGGCCTTGATTTTGAACAAGACATGTCGAAGTCCGATCCGCATTGTACGCATCTGAATCAGAATGGCACATTGCGGCTTCGACAGCCCTTCGTATAGTCGAAGTGTCTTCTTGTTCGGCGCTTGCACTAAGCGCTTTGTCGGCGCGGAAGTTGTCTCCCGCTCCCACCGCTCTCTAACTCGTTGGCGTACTGCTCTCTTGGCTGCTGCGGCGAGGCGGATTGTCGGTTTTCCCGGATCACCGCTCCCGGTCGTAGCTCCTATCCCTGCGCCAAGAAGCGCTGCACCTTTTGCTTCAGTGTCGGCATATTCATTGCCGCTCACCCCAACGTGTGCGGGGATCCACCTGATAGTGACTGTTGTTGGTTCTTGTTGGACTTGGTTCCGCGACCGGATAACCCGTATATGGTCGTAGATGCGGGTGAGAATGTATTTGCCGGATGGTCGCTTTGGGTTTTGTACCGCTTGGATAGCGGCTTGGCTATT